CGCATAGCGATCGCTCCATTTAACGAAGAAATCGCTTTGTGACGATGTTTTTGCGATCGCTTTTGCGATCAGTTAGCGATGGTCCCTATGGGGAAAATTCGCTTTGCGATGATCGCAGGGAAGCGATCATCGCAAAGCCCCCATTTTCGGCCAGCTGATTGGCGGTTCCAAAATGGCTGCCAGGTAAACAAATGGCTGCCTGCTGTGTTGCCTTTCTTTAGAGGCACCGAAAATGGCCGCCCCTATGGAGGATTTTCGCTTAAGGTTAGTTTTTAAACCCATAGGAACACATTAATGGCGTTTTAATGCGTTTCTATGAGCTTTTTAATATCGCTTAGCGATGAAATCGCTTAACAGCGATTTTTGCTCCACGGATTAACATCGCTAAGTGAGGCACCACTGTAGATAAATAGGTACCACCATGGTGGGAAGGTAATGGCGTTCCGTGTCTAGTCGCGCTGGTCACATGACCACGGAAACTGTCTTCAGGCAAATGCTGGCTCCATGGCTTGGAAACAGGGATGAGCACGATGCCCTAGAGTCGGACACGACTGGACTGTATGTCAAGGGGAACCTTTACCTTACTTGGTTAAATCTAATAATATTCCTGTTTATTTATGCAACTAATGTCTCTGGTTTTTCCCCATCTAGTTCACAGATTCTAAAGCTATATGAGTTGGACTGATTGTATAACAATACAGTGGTGCCTCGCTTAGCGAGTGCTTCGCTATGCAATGAATTCGCATATCGAGGGGGTCCGGGCCATCGCTGGAGCGTTCGCTCAGCGATGGCCCCTATAGCGTTTTTTCGCTTTGCGATGATCGCTAAGCAATTCGCTTAGCGATTTTCGCAGAACGAAGCGGGGAGAACAGCTGATCGGCGGTTCCAAAATGGCCACCGGAAGGTCCGCGCCGCATTTTCGCGCCCTGCCCTCGCTTACCGAGGGCGCGAAAATGGCGGCGCTATGGAAAAACATCGCTTAACGGTGAGTTTTAAAGCCATAGGAACGCATTGAACGAAGTTCAATGCGTTTCTATGGCTTTTTTATTCCCGTTTAGCGATGTTTTCGCATAGCGAAGGTTAATCCGGAACGGATTAACCTCGCTATGCGAGGCACCACTGTATATTGATATGAATACACTGAAGTATTGTACAACTTTGTAATCCAACATACTTGCACTAGTGCAGAAATTAATTCTGCAAACATCATGTTGGATTTAGGCCTTTGAGACTAAACATAACTTGATTTACAAGTAACAGCAGGGGTGAAAACATATGGCACTTAAAAGAATAATAACGCTGTTGTTACTTAAACAAAGATTTTGATACACAAGATGTAGGTATATTTAGAATAAAAACATTTGCCCACAACTACTCTAAGAAATGTCAAATATATCGAGAGTTCTTATGGAAAGAAAATACAGTATACATTTGACTTTGTTTTAATACCTCTGCTTTCAGTGCAGTAGCAAATAGGCTACAATCCTGCTTAATTGGACCTGAGAGAAAATTCTACTGAAGTTGGTGTGACTTACTTCAGAGTACAGATGAACAGAATTGTACTGCTAATTACATTTGCAACTCAATTGTAGTTATATTATGATACCAGTAATTCATTACAACATTATTTGCCCTACTATTATACTTAATTATGTTATTTTAATTTAATATGTTATTTTGCAGGCTGTATTTGACTGGGTGGATATTGCTGGCAGTAAATTGGCTTCAATGTCACCAGTTGGAACAGACCTAGAAACAGTGAAACAGCAAACAGAAGAACTGAAGGTATGAAACATTAGTGTTTTCTTCTTTTACATCATCATCGTGTCCAGAATTAGTTTTTATTCACTTTGTAATAAAAAGTAAATTATTTCCATATGAGTGTGTCATTTTAAAACTTACAGCTTATGTGAGACTGAAAATAATGTGACATTAATTTCCCCTTAAGCTTAGTTGTGGGTTAGAAAAAAACACAGAAGTCCATTTTTCCCACTGCATCAATTACTTTTATGACATTTAACTTCCTTTTCTGAATGTGTGCAACTTCCTGTCTATTCTGTCATGACTGATACCATGGATTATTCCTAAACATTCTCAGATCAGTTCATTTCCACTCATGGGCTAAGAGAAAAAATTCCCCAGCCAATTCAAAAAATGAATTTGGGATAGGAATATGACTCATTCTCTTCATAATACCTGGATGCTATTATGTGTTTTGCACAGGAAGCAGGGATAGTATAGGATGTCCGTTTTAGGTCAGGGGACTTATCTAGATGGTCCATTCCAGTTCTTGTTATTGTATGTGCAAAGCAGAAGGGGACGCGTTGGAAAAATGAACAGAAATGTTTACCAACAAATAAATGAATCTCTCCACAGGGGCTAATTAAAAACAGGGGAGACAATATTACTTTCAGAAGGGAAACCCTGGGTTTAAAGGATGAGGAGGAGTAGGATGGGTGGGTGATAGTGATGCATCCCCCTAGTCTGGCGAGCAGGCAGTTAAAAAAGGAAAAGTGCACTTTCATTTCTCTCTTTCTCCGCATCTTTCGAATGGAATCACTATCCTAGTCACAGGAGCAGATTTCCTTTAATGGATCACAGCAGGCAAGTTATGTGAGGTACTTGTGGAGGCTGTACCCAGTGACTTCACAGGCCATGCTAAGGATGGAGGGAGGTGCTCAGTAGGTCCATCCTTCATGAACCCTCAACATGCCAATATCCAGGGGTACAGAATGATGTCTTGCTTCTCTATACCTGGATGTTAGCCATCTGTGGGGCCCTGTGTTCACAAAGTTAATAGTCTTCTGGAAAACTGCTTTTAGAGTAAGGATTTATATATGTAAAATGTACATAGGAAAGACAAACAAACACATAAATAAATAAAATATTCTGAGATTAACTTTGGGATGACAGAAGTGGCACTCTTCATATTATGCACTTTCATGAAAAAATTCCAGCAGCTGGAGTCAAAATAAACA